TTTGAGATATACCAAACAGTAGTGTCCTACCACACCTAAACAAATTTTCCCAGAAAATATAAGATCTTGAACACCACTAAAATCATTTTTTCCCTTCTAGCCTGGGAAACCATCTACTACTAACAAAAAAAAAAAAAAAAAAAAAAACAAATTCATTTCATTAATGAATTTCATTAATTCCTGGGAAAAGTAAGAACATAAGCCTTTCTACATGCTTGTTCGTTGTCTGTTCTCCCCCTACCTGGCCCCTCCCCACCTTGTCCTGGGGAAGGAGCTATTGAGAGGGGTATGAAATTACTGATGAAGTGAAGGGTTTGCAGAAACAGAAGAGGACAGGATCCTGAGTACAAGTTGAGGTTTTAAGAGTGTATGCATAGGTCGATGAGTTGTGTGACTGCGTCAAAGAGTTGGAGAGTTAAGGAGCTTCTTGTCTGATGGCTTCATTTTCTCATTAAAATAGGAAGCAAAGCCATCTGCTTAGTATGATGTAAAAGGGGTCAGGGCTTGGTAGAGTTTGAAATTGCCTTGATGGAGAGTGGGAGATAGCTCACTTGTTAAAGAAACATTTCTGGACAAATTATAAGATCTGTTCAGGTTAGGAATTCATTTTGTAAAGGCACCAATTTCCCTGGTTTAATGAACTTATCTAGAAGTCTCAGTATACCGGGTATACGAATGGAATAGTCAGATAATCTGAGTTAATTCAGATTGGGGTTTGTTCACAGGGGTGGAAGAAAAGGTTTAAGGGCAGAGAAATGAGGAAGCTGATAGGCAGGTGTTTGAGGGAATGTAGTATGGTATATAGTCAGGATATGGAAGATAGTAGAGACAGAAGGGGACTGCAAGGGACAAAGGAGAGAATTCAAAATTCTGGAGATCAAAATAGGTGAAGGGACAGGTATATTGGGGTAAAAACATGAGATACCTGGAAAGATGTGGTTTTATTCAGGGAGTGGGAAGTTGGAATTTAAGATTTCATGTGCTGCACAGTTTCAGATAATGAGAGCAGTCTAAGATGTGGCTTTTGAAATGTGAGGCTGAAGCACAGTGGAGGAGATAATCATTGGAGTTAGGAAATTCAAAATACCGACAGCCTCGATGCTTGAGGATTAGATGGTTTGTGTACAAGTATATTGAAGTGACTGGATATATTGGCAGGAACTGGGATAGAGAGAGAAGGACCCAGGTGCCCAAGTCTTGAATGAATGAAGTGCCTAGGAGATAGGTGACAGTATTGATTGGAGTAGAGGGATGGAGCCTCAAAGTGGCGTTACTCTGTGGATGTGCATGTGAGTAGAGCAACGAGATGGGTGTGGTTGAGGTTCTGGTGTATTTGTTTGTGTCCTTCTTTCCTCACATCATCATGTACCCATTCCTTTATCTCTTCTGCTTCTACTTCTTATTTAATTATTTCTTGTAAGTTTTTTTTTTAGATGAATAGCTTTATTCATTGGAAATTACTCACGAACTGATGTAACTTTGTTGAGTTTAACAGTTCATTTGTCTAATTTCTTTGTGGAGACTAATAAGATTGGTTTCCCGGGGCAGGAGGAGTTAGACATTCGAACACTGCAAACCAAAAATCGCAAACTGGCAGAAATGCTAGATCAACGGCAGGCCATTGAAGATGAACTCCGTGAGCACATTGAAAAACTGGAAAGACGACAGGCCACTGATGATGCCTCACTATTGATTGTCAACCGGTACTGGAGTCAGGTAGCTAACTTGTTTATTTGCTTGGATTTTTATTTAAGCCTTTTGGTTCTCCTTACTACTCTCTTCATTTCCAAAGTTGTATCCTTTTGTTTTTTCGTAATTGCACCTGCCCTTCTCCAGTTCGATGAAAACATCCGTATCATCCTTAAACGTTATGATCTGGAGCAGGGTTTGGGAGACCTGCTAACTGAAAGAAAAGCCCTGGTTGTGCCTGAACCAGAGCCAGACTCTGATAGCAATCAGGAACGTAAAGATGACCGAGAGAGAGGTGAGTGTTTGTGATGCGTTCTGTTACTGCATGCTATCTGGGTGTTTGAAGTAGAGCTTTGCTTTGAGGCTCTCCATTTGGAGAAAAAAAAAATGCATTTTTGTTATTTCCAGTTTTATAATTTTGGGGGGCTTCTTTTCTCCCCCTGTGTCCTCAGGGGAAGGGCAAGAGCCAGCTTTCTCTTTCCTTGCTACTTTGGCCAGCAGTTCCAGTGAAGAGATGGAATCTCAGCTGCAGGAGCGTGTGGAGTCCTCCCGCCGAGCCGTATCCCAGATTGTGACTGTCTATGATAAATTGCAAGAAAAAGTGGAGCTCTTATCCCGGAAGTTAAATAGTGGAGGTGAGGCAAGAGCCTGGAGTCTGGGAATAGTGGGGGAGGAATAAGAACTCACCTTTGCATGCTGATTTATAGTTTGGAAACTTACGTATTTATTTTTAGTTAAATTCCTCAGAATCCTAATCTTCAGTATTACTGGTGATGTCATTACTGTAGCATATTAGGAACTTATTAATGCTTCACATTTCAAGCCATGTGACACTCCTTTAAGAGGCTAAGGGAAGATTTTATCAGCTCCATTCCGATACAGTCTATTAATTAGACACTTGTAAATAACAGAGTTAATTTTATGATTTAAGACATAGCTCTGATTTCTGGATATTTATTTGGTATATATAGGCTATTGATTTATTAATGATAATAAATACTTCAAATATTAGCAATTATGTTATTTAAAAAATTTTTTTGTTAAAAACTGAATTTTGACTTCAAAGAATCAATTTTTATGTTCTTGTTTTTCATTTTTCTGTTATTGCTAATGTTTTTAAAAAGAGTTGGTTTAGGTTTTAGAGTTGTCAGATGGTGTCTATGTTTAAAAGGATAAAATAGAAAATATTCTATGTATGACAAAATGTCTATTTGAAACAAAATTATTTGGAGTAATTGTGCTATTATTCAGTGTTATTGCAGAAATTTATACTAAAATATTTGTGTAGCTAGGTTACATCTTTAGTCATTTGTGGTATAAATCTCTTGCTCAAATGCAAATAAATGCCTTGATTCATGTTTTCAATAATAATCATGGTCTAGTTGGAATATCTTAATTTCCCAGATTATCATTAAGATGTTTAACTATTCATTTCTGAAAGATAGAAGTTGAACGTGTTAGAGGCTGAACCATTGGGTGGGCAAGCAAGAATTGTATTATTCTGTAATTTTGTTTTTAAGGGTAATTGGGCTAAACTATCAACAAAATTAAGCAGCAGGCATGTAGAAGGCTTGTGAAAATTTGGTGGACAAGGATTTCTTTTGCTTTTCCATTTTTTTGCGTGTGTGTATTTCTGTATTATTAGGAGAACAGATACTTGTTTTAAAATGTACAAATTAGGAATTTGTAAAAGTAGACTACTACCCCCATCTCACTTCTCAAAGATAACGATTATAAACAATGTGTTTTGTGTCCTCCCAGACTTTTGTATTCATGTATTACATCTACTCGAGTGTTCCCAGCTAAACTATGCCTCTTGGTGCAGTGCCTTGGCTCACTCTTTGTTTCTTCAGTTTCTGGCCTTGCATCTGGTATCTAATGGATGCTTAGTTGATGGGAAAATGAATGAACAAGCTGTGTTTTATATATACATGTATACTTCTTTCTCTTTTGGCTATAGTTGAATTGTGAGAGATATTGTTACATTTTAATGTGGATAATATGCCATTTGCAGGGGCTATGTTAATGTTAAACTTGATTTTATAAATGAATATCAAGTAAAATAATTGCTATATTTAAAAAGGGACCAAAAGGAGTAGTATATCAGACAGTACTTTAAAATTATTCTTTTTGATGGCATGCATTTTAGGGTCAGGTTTAAGTTAAGGAATAAAAACATTTATTACAAGTTACAAACAGCTAAGCTGTTATTTGTAACACAAAAGATAATTGCATTGATAAGCTGAGCTTTCTAATACATATAGATATGTGAGTATGAATTGTAGCATCAACTGTAACTTGTTTGGAAGTTCATTATTTCCCCCATGTTTGGTCCTTGATTCAAAAGAATTGCACTTACAGGCTTGTTTACTAATTTACTAAATATTTCTTGAGTGTTTATTGTGTTCTAGGTTCTGTCCTCAGTGCTTAGGATATTGAGAGTACTAAAATTCAGACCCTAGTTTTTAACTTAGGTTGTGAATCAGAATCACCTTAGGAGTTTTCTGAGCATACTATTTGCAGCTCTGCTCATGGAGACTTTTATTCAGTAGGTGTGGGATAGGTCCACTTTAAAAGTTTCACAAGTGATTCTAATGGATAGCCCTAGATTGAAAACCGTAAAAACCATCACATGGCCAACCTATTCTGTATTGTTTTTAAGAGTGATGCCAAGAGGTGTCATGAAAGAGCACAATTTTTCTTCCTGGTAACTCTCTCTAAAGGGTGATATATATCCTGGGAGTATATGGTTTCACTTAATAACATTTGGATTTGAACTATAGTATTTATGACTCTAATCTTAAGCGTATTTACTTGGTATAGTAAGTCCTTTAGACTTACCTACCTGCTTTATAAATAGTAGCATACATTTTGGTTTTTGAGCTTCAGGAGTGCTCCTAGCATCGTGTTTCAGAGTATGATAAGTGAGTCTATGCTCTTTATTGTTCATGATTTTATAGATGCTTATTTAAAGATGGAAATTCTGCTGCCTGCCCCCCTTCTCTCTCCCAACAGAGAGGTGTTTCGTGTTGGTGTTAGTTAGTAGTAGGAATTTTTGATAGCCTTATGAAATAGAATTGTATTGCTATTAGGTCTGACACTGATTAGAGATACCTCTGTCTTCAATTCTAAAATGTAATTTTTGGGGGGATTGTGTCTTATATAAGTAAAGTTATAGAACCCCAATTTCTTTTCTCATGGCATTTTGGCCTTATAGAAAGGGATGGGAGTTAGGTGTCCTAGGCTGCAAGTTGACTCATTTCCTTAAGCAAGTCACCTAACCTCTGGGTACTTTATCTGACATGTGAGATGATTAAAACCAGCCTACTACTACTCCTTTTTTTTTAAAATACAAGTATCCTGTGTATAAAAAACCAGCCTACTTCTTAAAGTTCTGAGGAAAATGAAGTGAGATAGTATGTTATTGCTTTGGTGGGATACACGGTTTTAAAATTTAATACTATAGATACTAAATTAAAGTACAGTTCTTCTTCCCCAGATAATCTGATAGTGGAGGAAGCAGTGCAGGAGCTGAATTCCTTCCTTGCTCAAGAGAATATGCGGCTACAGGAATTGACAGACCTCCTTCAGGAGAAGCATCGCACCATGTCTCAGGAGGTACTTGACCAGAAAGGAGAGATGGCTGTTTCTAGTGGCCTCTGGCAGACATTGACTCAGAAGTCTGAGCGCTTTAAAGTTTCCCTTATTCTAGAAGGCCGATTTTTATATTGAATGGCATGCAGAGCAGGCTAAAGCAGCCAATTCTGAGAAATCAAAATCTGAGGAAAGGTTAAGTAAAGAAGAGAATAATTTACTATTTCTCCTTGACTACACTTCTGTTTAAATAGACATTTTAGAATCTTAGTCTTTGACTACACTTCTGTTTAAATAGACATTTTAGAATCTTAGTCTTTAGGAAGAAATGCTATCATGTGGGATTTTGCAAAATACAACAAAGCTTCAAACCTCCAAATAATGAGTTACCCAAGGATAAAGGACTGTGTGTTAATACAGTGTTACTGGGGAATGGCTTGGTAAAAATTCAACAGAGAACGACTGAGTAGGAACTATTGCATTAATGATGTTTTGGGAACCTGAGGAATGTGAATTTTCAATGTAAATTTGGGCACAAATATTGCCATGATCAAACCATGCCAAGATTTGGGCATTTATTTATACAAAATAATCAAGATAAAATGATGATAGGCCTTAATAAGACTCTTCTAATACTCCTGATTATCATTTTGGTTTAGTTCAAAGGATATTCTACCGAAATTTGATCTCCTATAATTTGGCCATTGACTTCTCATGCTGATTAGTAATTTAATAGTTACCATTTACTTTGTGCCTAGCATTTAAGCACTTGATGAATATTATCTCTATTGGTAAAATAATCCCACTTAACTGCAAAGAAAACAAATTCAAAGAGGTTAGTGATTGGTCTGAAGGCACATAGCTAGAAAGTGAGCTGTGTGTGTGTGTGTGTGTGTGTGTTTTAAAGAACCACGAAGGGAGAAATGAACTGTGTTTCGAATGTAGATCTATTTAACTTCAAAGCCCATATTCCTCATATGCCCTTGTTTCCTAAACTCCAGTGTTAAGGTTCATGCTGGGTTGGTTGCATGAGAATTATCTGGGGAGTTTATTAATTCATGTGGATTCTCATGGACCTTCAAAGGACTTAGAATCTAGCAGCACTTCTGAATAAATTGGAATGTAGTAAGAGAAATAACCTTCTGTCATGTTTTAAAATGTAAACTAGGTGCTACCAAGATAGAAAGGTCTTTCTTTTCTAGCCCTTTTCCAAATCTCAGATAGCATGTAACCTGGAGGGCACATTGTTTTGCTCAACTGGGTTGATGTCCAAGGTGACTCTTATGGCTGGCTGTTGGTGCTGCCTGTCTGCTGGGACCTCACCTCACCTTAGTTGTCCACTGGAATGCCTGCAGGTTGCCTCTCCAGCATGGCAGTCTCAGGGAGTTGGACTTTTTACATGGTGGCTAACGTCTTCCATTGAGAATCCCAAGAACACCAGGTAGAACTTGTATGGCCTTTTTGACATAGCTTTGAAGTTATGTAGTGCTATTTCCACTGGGTCACTAAAGTTGACCCGGTTTCAAGAGGAATGGACAAAGTCTCCACCCCCTGATGTGAGTACTATCAAAGAATTTTGGGGGCCATATTTTAAAACCAACACAAAGGGCACATATAGTTTAATATGAACTAATTAATTTTGTGATTAAAACATTAAATAGTGTTAGCTAGTGTATAGCTCCTAAATAAACAGAGAACAGCAAAAGTTTTTGTCTTTATATCATAGTATCTAATTCTAGATTGCTCTGGGGTCTGCTTAAAAAAGAGAATGGACGTTTTCCTTTTGTTCTGTCTCAATTATTATTTATGGCAATGTGAGGAGAGAAACTTGGAGTGTAAAGATCACTGTCCTTTTTGAATTTTTATGTTCTAAAATATTTGTCTGATAAAATGAAGGATATTATCTTTTCTCTTAAAAAAATACACGTTTTTGATGGGTTTGTGGTCTGTCTAGGAAATGGTGCTTTTCAGAGGTAGGCAACTTATTGGCTATTAAGTGGTCTTTTCCTTGTGTGAAGACTTCTTACAGACTTCAGACTTACAGTTTTCATGATTGCCCCAGAACTAAGTCATTCCTTTTCTAACTTGGTCTTTTTTTGCTATATTTTTCTGAATGCCTGTTCTTGGGATATAGTTCTCCAAGTTGCAGAGTAAAGTGGAGACAGCTGAGTCACGAGTATCTGTCCTGGAGTCCATGATTGATGACCTGCAGTGGGATATTGACAAAATTCGAAAGAGGGAACAGCGACTTAACCGACACTTAGCAGAAGTCCTAGAACGGGTCAGTGCTGTTTTATAGTTTGGAGACTAGAATCATTTTAAGGAGTCTTCTCAGAAAGAAGTATCTTGGGAAGTGGTGCTTAGGGAAAAAACTGATCCTTTGAAAGTATGTTGATAATAAGGTCTTAGGGCCTCTCACTGAAAAATCTTTGTCTTTTCTGTAGGTGAATTCAAAAGGTTATAAGGTATATGGCGCAGGGAGCAGTCTCTATGGCGGCACAATCACTATCAATGCCCGGAAGGTAAAATCAGTGACTCAGGACATGTTTTTTGACTTGGTGTCAGGTCTTGTGCCTAGGTGCTTAGGATTGTGTTCACACATGGCAAAGTGGGGTTTTGCTGTAAGAATGAATCAGTAAAGATAAGGAAGCTTAGAGATGGGGATGATTTAAGAACTCTTTTTCTTAACTCTCACTTTGCTATTTTCCTGCTTCTTTCCAGTTTGAGGAAATGAATGCGGAGCTTGAGGAGAACAAAGAATTGGCCCAGAATCGTCTCTGTGAGCTGGAGAAACTTCGGCAGGACTTTGAGGAAGTCAGTACACAAAATGAAAAGCTGAAGGTAAGAGACACATCTCTGAAGGGCAGTAAAATCAGACTTTTTGCTGATCAACTCACATGCAAATTAGGTATAGACTAAATGTGCCTCAGCATAATTAAGGCCATATATGACAAGCTCACAGCTATCATTTATTTGGTGGTGAAAAGTTGAAAGCTTTTCCTCTAAGATCAGGAAAAAGACAAGGATATCCACTTTCACTGCTTTAATTCAACATAGTACTGGAAGTCCTAGCCACCCAATTAGACAAGGATAAGAAATAAAAGGCCTCTAAATTGGAATGAAAGAAGTAATGTTGTCTCTGTTTGCAGATGGCATGATCTTATGTATAGAAAACCTCAAAAACTCCACGAAAAAACTGTTATAACTATAAACAAATTCAGTAAAGTCGTAGGGTACAAAATCAACATACAAAAATCAGTTGTATTTCTATACAATACAATAAACTACACAAAAAAGGAATTGAGAAAACTCCCGTTTACAATAGCATCAAAGGCCGGCGCGGTGGCTCATGCCTGTAATCCTAGCACTGTGGGAGGCCGAGGTGGGCGGATCATTTGAGCTCAGGAGTTTGAGACCAGCCTGAGCAAGAGTGAGACCCCCGACTCTATTAAAAATACAAAGAAATTAGTTGGACAACTAAAAATATGTAGAAAAAATTAGCCGGGCATGGTGGCGTGTGTCTGTAGTCCCAGGTACTCAGGAGGCTGAGGCAGGAGGATTGCTTGAGCCCAGGAGTTTGAGGTTGCTGTGAGCTGTGCTGATGCCATGGCACTCTAGCCCGGGCAACGGAGTGAGACTCTATCTCAAAAAAACAAAAAAACAAAACAAAACAAAAACAAACATAAAATACTTAGGAATTAATTTAACCAAGGAGATGAAAGATCTGTATAGTGAATGGATAAAAAAAAGTGTATATGTGTATGTGTGCATGTGCACATGTGTGTGTATGTATATATCTGTATATGAATGGAATACTATTCAGCCTTAAAAAAGTAGGAAATCCTGTCATTTGCAACAACATGGATGTACCTGAAGGACACGCTAAGTAAAATAAGCCAAGCACAGAAAGACAACTACATGATCGCACTTACATGTGCAATCAAAAAAAGCCAAACGCACAGATGCAGAAAATAGAATAAATCGTAGTTACCAGGGGAGAGGGAAATGGGGAGATGTTAGTCAAAGGGCACAAAGCTTCAGTTATGCAGAGTAAAGAAATTTTGGAGATCTGATGTACAGTGACTATAGTGACTAATAATATATTGTGTGCTTGAAATATGCTAAGGGAGTAGATCTTAAATGTTCTTGCCACACAAAAAAGGTAACTGAGGTAGTAGAAAAGTTGATTAGCTGGATTGTGGTAATCATTTCACAGTATATGTGTATGTCAAAACATCATGTTGTATACTTTAAATATGTACAATTTTTAATTTGTCGATTATACCTTAATAAAGCTGGGGGGGAGAAAAATGTAAGTTTTGTTGATATATCTACTTGTTTACTTATATATTTACTTACTATTTGTACCCTGCCTTGTTCTGAAAAGGATTTAAAGCAACCTACAAAGAGTAAATCATAGTGCTCTGACTTAGGAGTTGTTGAGAAAATTGAGGAGTAGGATAAAATTGAGTGAGGATCGAAAATGGATTAAAAAGTAGGGCTTGTATACAAGCTGATGAAAGGGGCATGCATATACTGTGGCAAGGTGGACCATTCACCTGTCAGTAATTGCCAAAGGGGTCCACAGATTTGGCTCTGCAGTTTCTTGCTGCCAAACAGAGAAAGAAACACAATCAGTGATCCTGTTGTTTTCAAACCTGCCCAGAAGAACTTTCTCCTCACATCTTTAGGGGAAGCATGGGGATTCTGGAAGTCTTCCTCACCCCTCTTTCAATCATAGCCATCTGTATTTTATAATTTGATTTGTTACTAGGTAAATAGATAAGAATTAAGATGTTTGAACAGAAAAATTAAAAAAAAACCCCTAAGTTAAATCAGTTAAAGTGTTTGAGTGATTAAAGTAAACAATTGCTCAGGAGAAGCATAATTAATTTTGATATCCTGCCAAAAAAATTTTTCTCTGTGATTGTTAATGAAGAGTACAAGTTAGTTACTAGGGTTCTCAACCGTATGTTTAAAATTAGCATCTGAGAAATTTCATAAGGCTCATCTAGTGGCTCAGGTTGACACGTAATGTAAAACACATCAAAACAATTCTGAGGAAGAAGAATACAGCATATCCAGGTGCCACCTCTTAGGTGGGCTAATTTAATTTGGGGTAGATTTTTACATAACTAGAGGAATGAGTAGATAGACTTCATAATCTCTATGAAAATAATTTCAATTGTGTAGAACATCAATGAGTTCAAAGTTTTATTTCCTGTCTAGCATCTGGGGCACAGATACTAAATTCTGCTTCTGACTTTCTTATCTGTGGGCCCTCCTAAGGTGGAATTGCGGAGTGCAGTGGAGGAAGTGGTTAAGGAAACTCCAGAATATCGCTGCATGCAATCACAGTTCTCTGTCCTATACAATGAGAGCCTACAATTGAAAGCACACTTGGACGAGGCTCGGACTCTGCTTCATGGCACCAGGGGAACCCATCAGCGCCAGGTTGAGCTCATTGAGGTAACAGCCTTGTCTTCTGTATATGAGCTTTTCTGCCTCAAATCTTACAATTTTATTCTCTCACGTGCAGTTAATCTCATTTATTCAGCAACATTTATAGAGTGGCTGTAGGTCTTTACTCTGCTAGATGGTGGGTGTACACAGACCAGACAATAGAATTCCTGCTCTCATGGATCTTATGGCCTTCAGTAGTGGGAGAATAGCATCCATCAGAATGCAGTGTGGCATAGTAGCAGCATATCCAAAAGGTGCAGTGATAGAGGAGACAGACCATCTAATTTGTGGAACCTTCCCGATTCCACATAAGAAAGTGAAGTATGAATCTTAAGGATAAATACACGTTTACTGGTTGTTAAAAGTAGGAGAAGGGCATTTCCAGCAGTGAGAACAGCAAGTGTAAAAATGTAAGAGAGCATGACAAATAGTTTAGCGTGGCTGGAGCTTATGTGGATGAGGGAAAATAGTGGGTAGAAGCAGCATCACCACTTCCATATCATTGTAGCATGTAATGGTACCTGTAGATAGTTTTTTTTTAAAGATGGAAACTTTTAGTCGTATATTTACTTTTGTATCTTCCATAGTCCTTAGGTAATGTTTATAGTAGTTGATCTTTTAATATATACCTGAACAGTGAATTGAATGCTACTTTATGTATATTTATATGCTGTTTTATGGTTTAGTTCTCCAGCGAAATTGCAATGTTTTCAGAGTTGGGACCATTTCCTTTATTTCTTTTGTATTCTGTCAGTTTCCAAATCAGTATATTATAGGCATCTGGTGTTAAGTATTGATTGAACTGGAAATTTTCAGAATAATACATTCTTTTCTTGGCATTTTCTTTTTCTGTTTTTAGATCCTTATAGATAAAATTTAAGAGAAAGAATAATAAAATATGATATTTCCACATTTTGATAAGAGGTTTTGATTGATTCCATTTTCTGCATAGCGAGATGAGGTTAGTCTTCATAAGAAGCTGAGGACTGAAGTGATCCAGCTAGAAGATACGCTGGCCCAGGTCCGCAAGGAGTATGAGATGCTGAGGATAGAATTTGAGCAGACCCTTGCTGCCAATGAACAAGCAGGTATAATTATTCTCATTCCACGCTGCAGTTTATGCCTTCCTTGAAAGACACAACACAGTCCTGTCAGGTTCGTGTTTCTTGGTTCTTAGTATCGAAGAATGATTACTGAGAATAAATGATCATTGAATAAACGAGCAGGCCAAACAGATGTAAGCAAGCCAAACAGCAAGATTTATTAAGCATGGTGTGTTCCAGAGAGGGAACGGGTCTATGTCCACCAGTGGAGGCAGCCCTGAGTTTTTAGTACACACATGTTTTTAGAAAGGAGGATGCCCCTCTTTTCTTCTAAGTGGAGTTTTCACTTCCTGCTCTTGGGTGATTGACAGGTTCTCTTATATAACTTTTGATCAGTGCACATGCGTCCTCCCAGAATCCTTCATGAAAGCCCATCAGGGGCGTCAAAACCACTATGCTGATTAGATGGTAATGAACCCCATGTCAGTTGAGGACACTTGAAACCCCTTAGCACGCATGCTCTAGTTTACCCCATTTGTGGCCTTGACTATATCTCCAGTTTGTGGTTTCTCTACCTTTTTCTGGTTGGTCAGTTCTTATATCTTCCTATCGTAGACAAAACATCTGTTCCTCTCCCTTCCTCCTTATCCCTACCTAACAGTCCCCAGGATTTGTTAATGCTAACTTGAACTCAGAAATCCTAGGTGCCTTAAATCCTGTAATTCAAATCCTATAATCCGTTTTGGTTCACAGCCTGGATGTTTGTTTTTTAACTCAAGTTGGCCAGTTTTGTTTCTGTCTTTTGAGAAGGACTCTTTCTTTTGGTAGTTCTCCCTGTTTCTCCGTGGTTCCTGATGTGTTCTGCACTTTCTCTGTTTGTGCCTTTGCCCTATCACAGTTCCTCATAACATTGCTATTGCTGTGTTTAAGGCCCTATAAACCGGGAGATGCGCCACCTCATCAGTAGCCTCCAGAATCACAACCACCAGCTGAAAGGGGAGGTCCTCAGGTATAAGCGGAAACTGAGAGAAGCCCAGTCTGACCTGAACAAGGTAACCTGGAGGAGTAGACTAAGTATTATTTGCTCTTAAGGTTACAAAGCTGCTTTTGAATGAGGTAAACAATGTGGTTACTATACACGATGTGCGTCTTTCTTTTCTTTTTCTTTATTTTTCCAGACACGTCTGCGTAGTGGCAGTGCCCTCCTGCAGTCTCAGTCTAGTACTGAGGACGCTAAGGACGAGCCTGCAGAACTAAAACAAGATTCTGAGGACTTATCCACCCAGTCCTCAGCATCGAAGGCATCTCAGGAGGATGCCAATGAAATTAAGTCCAAACGAGATGAAGAAGAACGAGAGCGAGAAAGGAGGGAGAAAGAGAGGGAGCGAGAAAGAGAACGGGAGAAGGAAAAGGAGAGAGAACGAGAGAAGCAGAAACTAAAAGAATCAGAAAAAGAGAGAGATTCTGCTAAGGATAAAGAGAAAGGCAAACATGATGATGGAAGGAAAAAGGAAGCAGAAATTATCAAACAATTAAAGATTGAACTCAAGTAAGTACAATATTTAGAGTAACTGTTTCTGACTCTGAAGCTAAGGTCGGGACATTATGCATGAAATGTTTGGTTGATGTCATTTCTTGTTTGATTATTGTAATATTTTAAATCGCACAATTAATGGGGTCTCAGCTCTTGGTCAACTGTATAGCCAGAATGGCCTGCATGACCATTGTGTAGTTTGGTTTGGTGGTCAGGTATCAGTAAATCTCGTTATTGTAGCCTTGTTTTTCATGAATCCAAATTAAAGGAAGAGATGTCATGATTAGAGTAGTGCTCCTGAGAATTATTGGAAATTAACTTACTGGTCTTTATTGGATTTGAGCAGATTTCTGGCATTAGTTATAACTACAGTTATATTAAGTGGAGCACGTATGTATCACTGTAACCTGAACAGTATCTGATCTATTTGCCTGACACTTAACTAGTTAGTGCCAGATCTTTTTAAGAGATTTCTTAGATTTTCTCCTACAGGCACTGGAACAGTAAGATAGACATTTGACCAAATGAAACATTATCTTTGTCATAACCTCACATATTGCCCCTTTCTTCCTGCATAAAAATAACTTGTACAATAGAACCAGTTACTTCTGGCTCCCCATTTTTTTTTTTTTTTT